GCGAATTCGCTTGGAAGCCACAAAACAGGAACCCATATAGAGTGCGAGACCAAGGAGTGAGTGTCCCTCTTGTTCCTCTTTCAATCTACGGCGGATGGCCTGCGAAATCTGTTCAGCACGAAATGAAGCCCTGGGAATGAAACCAGAAGGTGTGTTGGTATTTACCGGATCGAATCATTCCAGGGTTGCCCGGTGGTGCAGGACTTCCATCAGGGACCCCACATGGGTGAATCTCCTCTTGGTTTTTTCTAGTAAAACCAACCAAGGACCGAACAAAATGATTCTTTCCCTTTGGTTTCCCTTTGGTTGTGCTGTTTATACCAACCAAGAGGGGCCCCCAATGCAAGACACACCCCAAATCAGAGATAACCCAGAATTGTGGCCTTTGTGACTTTTCAAAGCTTTTGCAGGGGTTTCCCATTAAAATCAAACCAAGAGAGCCGATTCTCTGGATTCTGGACAGTCAGTCTTGCAGCAATGTGAAGCCATCCACCAGAGTCCATGGCGACAGAATTGCTTCCTTTGCGGCTTGAGGTTTGCTGGGTCTGTCCGACACATGAGGTGCTGGACCCAGTGCTGGATTCTATTTTGTTCTTTGGAAAGACCAATTTAGTTGAGCGCCGAGTTCTTTTTTGTTGACCAACCCGCTCTGGAAGTGAGTTGGCGCGCCTTCTTTGTGTTGTGTTGTTTTTGAAGGGGTGTCTCTAAATCGAAGCGGAGAATTGTCCTGGCATATGATCAAGGCAGTTCGCACGTTTGAAGTTGGTTCTTGCTTCGGCCTTCCAAATGTTTGGCATGCAGAAATCGGTTCTCTCTTGATGCCACGCGAATTCTCCGGATTTGACGGGTTCAGGACGCTGAGCGCATAGAAAACAGAACACTCTATTAGGCAAGCAGGTTCCAAGGCTCCCTGGGCAACTTTCTTCAAAACACCTCCTTTTGCTGTCTCCTTGGGGTGCCCAGCCTAAGTCCATTTGTCGCATTCTGTGTCCGCCAGCAGACGCTATCCATGTGACCTGGCAGACGTGTTGGTTGTTCCATGCGGCTCACAAGGATGACCGTTGTCGCTGCCGTTTTCCTACGGACTGGCGTTGAGACGACCCTATGTTTGAGCCGCAGCCCCATGTACTGTGCGGATGATACTCCTGAAGTTGAAGAAGGCTGATGTGAATGTGTGCCTGCGAAGATACGTTGTAATTCAGGCGCCCCTTAGTTGCTGGAGCTCACCCAAGATGAAGGTTCACCACTTGGGGATTTTTCATGTCTAGGTTTTGTTTTTGCGATTTGCCCAGAGGTTTTGTTGTTGTTTCCTTAGCTCTCAGAGGATTCTGCTTACATTCAGCGCCCGACAGCTCCCGGCAGGTGCTCCCTTGCCGTGGGCCCAGCGTGTGCTCAACTTTGTAGTCCGTCTCCTGTGGTGCTGGGATCGTTTGCAAGACAAACCCCGGTCCGGTGGCACCTGTTTTCTTTTTGCTGGTCGGATTCCCCAGTAAAGTCGTCAACCACCAAAAGGGGTGCCCTTGGAAAACCAGGGTCACTGAGCAATATTGGAAATCTGCTCAGGCTGGCTCAAGCTGATCCAGCCGAAGCAGTGAAAGAGAGGGCCGGTTGGTAGAGTGAGAGGAACTGTACATGACCGGGAAGGTTGTCAACAGTATGTCGCCTTTTTGGACCCTGGTGCAACCTTTTGCTACCTTTCTTTCCTTTCATCGAGCTTAAACTGGGGATCCTTGTGTGGTATAACAGGGCGCTATGGATGGTTTACGAGGCCCTGAGCGAAGGGGGGGATCGCAAAGCAAACAGAACAAACCCCAAAGCAACAACGAGACCAAAAAGCCTCAGAATGAAAGAAAGACCGGTTCACTTGCTGCACTTCTTTGCTTCTTGGCACTCACTGAGTCAGCAAAAGCTTCCGCTCTCCCCTCAAACAGTTTACCACAAAGGGCTGAATTCTCACTCCCTGGCTCAGGTCCGAAGCCAAGGCGCGCGTGGCCAAATGCATGCCGCGCTTGATAGGTGCATACAAGTGTCCAGGCGTACAGACATACATACATACATACATACATACATACAGACATACACATGCATACATGGATACATGCATGCATTCATACATTACCCTACACCACATTACATGATATTTTGTTGCATTGCATTGCATTGCATTGCATTACATACTCACACACACATACACAAACGGACACACCTACGTACGTACTTACTTGCATGCGCACATACACGCACATACAATTTATACGTTCGTATGATGGATTTCGGCTTCCTGGTTTGACTTTTGGGCCCTTGTCTCCGCAAGAGAACACATCTCGTTTCTTTTGGCCCGAGTAGAAAGGAGAAACGCATCGCTGCATGGTCCAAGACTTTAGTTTCCGGGCTCCACAGCCAGTGGTCCCATGGTCAAAGGGCCCCTACACCTGGAGTTGGCGGGGGGGTTGCTTAAAGCTGCTGAATACGTGGGAAGGACGAACTGCGATCATAGCCCACAAAAGGAGTCTTGAAGGTTTCGACCTGTCAGAAGGATTCATTGAGGAGGCAAATCTTCCAGAACCTCAGCAAAACTAGAGGGAATGCAATGAGATCGATCGGCCAAACCCATGCTTTGATGGTTCTCAATGTCTGTGCAAAATGAAATGAACCATTCGCTGGGATTCCCCTTTTGCCGGGCTTTGCATATAGTCCTTCCCTAATCCTGATGCCAGATAGTGGTTCTCCTTGTTAGTGGTCCTTCACGGGATTACTCGGGATCCCCGCATGGTGCCCAGCCCCAGTGCGGCAGGTGGCGTGAGGTCGGACAGGATGGAGCCCGTAGCAGAAATCATCACGGCATCGCGGGGCGCTTTTCAGGTCGGCCGTACATGGATGCGGGATTCCTGTCGGCCGTGTGACGTGGGTCGTCGTTGAACAAATGGGTCCTAGGTGGATTCATGATATTTTGCACCCCGTGGGTCAGCCCTTGGATCAACGGAACGAACATTCGATGAAAGATGAGGCACCAATTGTGAACAACATTGACACAACATGTCACGGACTGCTTGTGAAAAGACATTCGCCCCTATGTAACTAGGCCATACTCCCTTCTTGAGTCGCCAAACTATGGATCATATTACATCAAGACATGTGGCATGTTCTCTAGAGAGTATCAACCAGCAGAAGATACTGCAGCCACCATCCATGGGTCATCAATATTGGTGTGCAGTTCACAGAACGGCATCCCGCACACGAATTGCGTGCCATGTTTAGGAGCTGGATCTCTGCGTATGACCAGAGATCCGAATCGTGTTAGCACGCCGTCCTGGAGCCCTGCCTCCTCAAAGAGTGAGCGCAGCAAATGCCCCAAAGCCGGGGAAGCGAGTGGGCGAAAGAGCGGACGAATGTGGGGCACGGGGATGGGATGCAGCCAATGCTCCGACACCATGGCCACAAATGCGCTGGTGTGGGTTTTAGGTTTTGACATTTAGATGAAAGATCCTCTGAAAGAGCCTTTCAGACGCGAGGCCCCGAGCCCTCGTTGCGCTGAGGAAGTGGCCCAGTGTGTTAGTCACTTCACAGAGCCCGTGAAAGGCCAGACAATGTTGGCCGGGTTGCATCGTGGTCCAATGAACCAGCAAATGGGTTGTGTGTCTGTGTGTGCTATTTTGAGGGTACCATTTTCAGGTTGGTTTAAATGGAAGTCTATAGGAAAGCAACGTTTTTAGGGGCCCCTACTTTGACATATTTAAAGATTTTCAGCGTTCCGTCAGACCCAGTACATGCTGGAGCAAACAGTTCGACTTGTGCGCACGACCGGTCTGAGCTTAAGTTTAGAATATGGACCTTGGGTCCTTCAAACTCAAAGAGACCTGGTGTAGCAAGGAAAGGAGCACCAACAGCACAGCATACCATTTGCACGGTGCCGCAATTTCGACTCCTGACAGGGGCACCTTGATGCTTCTGTGTGGTTTGACCATTGCTTCACCACGGATTGCGGAGGGGGCCGGCCATATCCAGTAAGAGTTAAGAGCTGGTATCATAAGATAATTTCTTACGGCCCACGGCCCAAGCATGTTACTTCCGCTACAGGACGTGTGAAGTCCTTGTGTGAGAGGCTCGGAACAGCAACCACTATATACATTGCGGTGCCCATGGAAGTACACATTGCATAGACCTTCGCATTTGTTTGTGTTTTTCACTCCAAATGGAAACGTGTGTCCCAACACTGGCAGTGATAATGTGAGAGAAGAATGCCAAATCGACTTGTGCTGTTTACAGCATAATCTAAAGGAAGCGATGTCCATTGAATACATGTAAACATACATGCGTTTTGACCACAAAAGAGGGGTCCAATGTCGAGCCCGGATTAGTCACTGCTGGCGGGTTTTGCGTTTGTTTGTTCTCTAAACTGGGACACCCCCATCAAAACCAACCAGCTGGGCCGGCTCAGGCCTTACAGCCCGAGCCCCCCAGCCCGCGGGTCAGATGAGGATCTCCTAAATGTCCCACACAAACCACGAAAAAAACACGATCTCTCCCATGTGGTATGGGTAGCCTCATAGTTTGACCCCTCGCATGATCTCAGTTGCCAAACGTGGCAAAAGAGGGATGAGTCACTCGGTTTCGTGCTGGATCCTTTTTCCACTTTTTGCAATGATGCAAGTTCGACTCTCAACAGTATTTTTGTTTCAGTTGGGGATGGATCAATTTGAGAAGGGGGCGCTGATAGGAGTCATCCAGATTGATCCAAAGTTGACATTGATCCAAGTGTGCTGTTCATTGAAGCAGGTGCCTGCCCTGATAAAGAAAGCCCACCGTGGTATGCACACGTACCACAATTGCCGTGACTCTTGATTTTGGCAGGCACTCGGCCTTGGTGACTGAACCTGTGTCACTTGCTCATTTCATTGCATGCCGACCGCAGTGTTCCAGACACCCTGACGCATTGGGCGCAAATAATTTTTCCAGAGCACACTATCGCATAGCTGAGAGCAGCGCCGGCGTTTCCGTCGAGCAAATCACGCGCCCAGTAGCAATCTCTCTCCGCATTCCCCGTGGAGCTCTACAAGTGAAGGGCCCGTCAGGCCCGGCAGGGGTGGGTGACCTCCTGGTTCAACTCACTTGGTCAGTGGCACCCTTTTTTCCTTTTTTCTGGGTGGCTGCCCCACTAAAAATGGTCTTCCCAAAGAAGGGTTCCCTTTTTTCCAGGGTCACTGAACAACTGAGTCAAGCACGGTAAAGTTGCCAAACAGTTTACAGGACGGTGAAAGTAGACGGCACGAATCATTCCTGCATTTGGCCTTCACCGTGCTGTTGAGAGAATCCCTTTAGGATCCCTCTAAAGGCGACTCGGTGGTTTCCACTCTTGGTGCGGAGTCAACGTGCTTCCGATCAAGAAGTTTGTCTCAAACAAGTAAATTGTGTGTTCGCACAAAAAACAACAAGAACACAGAGCACTTTCCTGAGTAACGAACACCCCTGTTTTCTTTGCAGGGTACCCCGAACTCTTTGAACACAAACTTTGTTGACGCATCCTGGGTCCTAAATAGGGGCTGGAGGAATCCAACTATTACCATCCCCAGTGGGTTTCCTTTGGTTTCCCTTAAAAAAGCCACCCTAAAAATGTTCCTCCCCCAAAAAGCCCTCAAACAAAATCGGTTTGAGCGTTTTCCTTTTTTCGTGCCACTCTTCGCTTCCCTCAACGCCGCCATCGCGTCGCCTGCCCAGGCCGTTCTGTGGGCCCATGGCCGAGGCGGAAACGAAGAAGGCGAAGCACGAGACGGCGGAGCACGTGGCCTGGGACTGCAGCGATGTGGTGCCCAGAGTCAGGCGGGGGTGGCGATTCGTTTAGAAATGGGAGCATGGGTGTCTCGTCTTTTTGGGGGACCCCGGTTTTGGTTTTGGTTTACAGTTGGAAACCCAAAGGAAGCCAAGCATTTGGGTCCGAGGCGCATCGGACACACTGTTTATGGAATCCCTAAGGATGGGGTAGGTACAAGCGGGGTAGCTCAAAATTTCACGGAATCCCTACGGCTCACTTGTCACATGTCACTTCTCGGGCTCCTTGGGCTGTTTAGGGATCCCCCCTACCACCCCCAATTGGAGTCCCTCCACAACACAAGGATGAGCCAATGGCTGTGGTTTCCGAATTGGGTGGAACCCAAGCCACCCCCTCCAAAGAAAATAAATAAATCAATCAAATCTAGTGGTAGATTCCCTTTAAAACCCGGCAAATAATTTATTTAGCAGATGGATGCTATTTGGGTGTAGCTTCGTTTTGTGGAAAGGGGGTAGCTCCTTTGCGTGGGTCCCCAAAGATGTTTGTTTCTAAGGCTCAGTGTTTTGGGTTGGGTACGTTTGATTGGTTTGAAAGTTGGAAACCACAAGGAAACTCAACCAAAAGAAAACCAAACGCCATTTTAGGGGTTCCGATTCCTATTTGAGACAAATCCATGTGGGTGTGCATGAGTAGTATTTGTATTAGAAAAAAATCCAACATTGTGGCTTTCCCCTGGGTTTCTCTGTAAAGCAACCAACAATGCTTACCCTCAACAAAAGACACCCTTCTGGCAAAATATTGGAAACCTATTTCAATCATATTGACGCAAACATACTCGAACTGTTTAAATATGTGTGAAAATAGGGGGCCCACAAATAGTGTTAGTTCTTATGGTTTCCTTTCAAAACACGAACCAAGGATACCCCCAGCAAAAAGACCGACCCAGATGGCTGTAAGTTTTCATATAAGGAGGTTGTTCAATATTCCTGGCCTGCAAATGTCCATGGGCAACTTTTCCCACTTAATGGGACATGACACATCATTATTTTAGTGGTATTCCCCAATGGTCATCCCATGTAAAGGGCTTTTTGATCGACTCCCATATGCGGAAGCCGGAAACCCCTCAAAACTGAGCTACGGCGAGGGGACCCCAAACATAGTGGTTTTCAGTTTGACGGCCCCTCCAAGCCCAAAAAGAAAAGAAGACCTGCAAGCGCACACAAACACAACCAAAATGTGTTTAGTCCACCAGCCCCCCAGTTTGCCTTCAACGGCAAACCAAGAGGAGGTTGGCCTGTTGGCGCTTGGAGTCAGGATCTTGGCCAGACACTGCCGCCAACACTTGGACAAAGCCAAGGCAGGGCTTGAGCGGCGCAGCGGACAAACACTATGCAGTTCTCGGGCCAAGCAAAACAAGAAACGAGGCCGGAGATGACCGGGCGTGTTTCTGCACTCTTTCCTATGGTGCCCTTTTGAGCCTTGACAGAGTTTTTTTAGTTTTTTTTTTTTTTTTTTTTTATGGCCACTGGAGGTCTAGGTTGTTTTTTGAATCATTGATTCCGTTTGGTTAGTCGCTGTGTTTGGTCAGTCAGTCTTTTGCTCGGTCAAGTGGCCGGTTGGTTGCTAGGTGGTAAGAAGCGATTGCGCAAAAGGATACGGATGGAGGTAGTCGCAAGGCTCATGTTTGGGAGGAGCTCGTCTTGTCATCCATTGATGAGTTGGGAGCAGGTTTAGTGGTTCTGGTTTCTTGTCCTGCTAGGGGGGTCCCTTAACAATAATTCTTGAATATTGCCAGCCAACTCTACAAGTGGTGACACCCGGAAAATCGGAAAATGCCATGATTTTGAAGAGCCTCACATAAATGCCGTGCATTGGTCTCAGCTTGAGACCTAGCAGTTGAATTTGGAGGCTGCGCCAAGGGGCGATTCCGGCGCCTCATATTCTCGGATGGGTCTATGTTGAGAGGGTGCCCTTTGGTCTTAGGGATCCCAAAAGGAAACCAATCCTTGGGAGTCCTGCGGAGTCAAAGACGGCCAGTTTGCACTGCCGCTGCCTTGGGCGCGTTTTTTGAAACAGCTCTGGAACCATGAAGAATGGTGGCGAATCGAAAAGGGGCTCAGGCCAATAACGGTTTCCCGAAAAAGCACACGAATTTACAAGGAAAGAAAGGACTCCGATACACAATTTTCAAAATGGACCAGCCCTTCACTCCCAAGTTCAGACATAGAGCCCAAATCTCCCAAGTCCAAGATAAGAAATGGAACAAAAATCCTGCTTTGCAGCCCAGGGGTTAGTTCTATCGCTTCTTTTTTTTCTTTTTTTTAGGACACGCCGGACATCCAACATGAGCTGATGGTGGCCATGGGAAACCTGGTGAAGGTCCCTGCGGTGGCGCTGATGCTGCCGGCCATGTCTGAGGAGCTGAAAGCCGCGCTCAGGGAGGTCTCGGACAAAGGCGAGCAGAGCCCGGCGGTGGCTGGTTGGCGGTTGGAGGCGGTTGGTTGGTATCCCAAGGGGTTCTTGGCTCCTGGAAGGCCGGGTTTTTTGGGGGATGGAGGTTTAGTTTCTTAGATTGGGTGTTTTAGAAGGGGAACGCCAAAGTGGCTGCTTGGGTCCATAGGCATTTCTGGTGGTTGCTTGACGTATGTATCAGGAATTTTAGGGAAAAGGTTGAGGGCAACCACTTATTTGGCGCTGCGAGACGAGCCTTGTTTTCTTCCTGAACCCCCGAGGTGTTGATTCTACGTTACGGACCCCACGGTGGGTGGTTAGTGTGTGTGTGGTGATTTCTGCCTATGTTTACTTGGACACGATTTCCGCCCTGTAGGGTCGAAACAGGCGCCAAGGGCGGGCGCTCGCGCACCTGCGGTTGCTTTGGCTTCCAGGTGCCCTCCCAGAGAGTAAGATGGATCTTAGAGGACACATGGCTGTGGGTCAAAACCAATGGTACCATTTTGGGGTAGGTGCCCCACCCATTTTGACCATTTTACTGGATTGGGATGCTCACTGGGGGTACGATTTGGATTTTGACCAATGGCCACATGCGGACACTCCTTTTTGGAATTGGATCCGGTTCCATGTGTTGTGTCAGGGCAGTAAAAGATGCGACAGGCTTGATCGACGTTGAAGCGCCAATGCATAGGGCTGGTCATGTACACGTGTTTCAACGCACCCATTCTGCGGCTCATTTGTTGAACTGGTTGGGTTTCCAGGTTGCTAAATATGTTTGTCGCGGCCAACAGGGGATGGTGTCAAAGGAAAGGCACCTGGTTAAACGGTTAGCCCTTTGGGTTCTCTTTAAACCAAGCTGAGTTTGGGGTGCGCGGTTTGCAGGCATTGAGCTTCTGGCGGCGGCAGAGACCAGCTTGTGGGACAGCCCCCGCATGCTCTTCATTCTCTCGCTCAGAGAGGCACGACGGAGATGGAAGAAGCAAGCTGGTGGGAGTACTTGATCGCAGAACTGTCCCAGCTTTCTGAAAGAGATAAGCGCAAACCACCAGACCCGCCCAAAAAAGGGATTCCAACAGGAGGTTCCCGGTTGAAACGTGCTCGAAGCTGGCCCAGCTCTTTGCACATGTACAAAAGGTGAGCCGGGAACTCGCGTTTGTGCGGGTTGCCATCTGTGGGTGTAATCAGTCACAAGCTGCGACGTTGCTCACTGATCCCATTTGATGCAATATAGATTTGGTTGACAGATGATACATGTGCGCGTGCGTCTGTGCGTCTGTGTGTGTGCTCTCACGGCCAGACCATGCTGAGCTTTGAGGAACCTGATCTTAGCCAACTCAGCCACCGCGTTGGTGAGGGGTTTGACTTCAAGGTATGAAGCAGGGATTTCCTTTGGTGGTGAGATCAGGGTACTGCCCTGTGTTGGGGAGAGGCTTCTGCAACCTATGTGCGCCAGCCATTCGAGAACTCTTTCAGGGCGTACCGCCTGCGTTTCAACTTGGCGCGACTTACAGTGTCGCACGGCCGCGTCATATTTCGCGGACATGCAGAGTGTGACATAAACCGACAGCGTGCCAAGACGGACAAATCAGACCAAGCAGAAAGACCGCGAGGCGTGCGCTTCCAACTCGTTTATCTGCAGACACGTGTTGAAAGCAGGCAGAGAACTAGAGAACTAAGGAGCGCTCTGAGTCTCTGAAAGGCTCGTACAAGACAGGCTGAGCCTTAGAAAGGCCTGCGGGCGTTTCTTTGACTGCCTTGTACACCCACGGATTTAGTTGCAAGAGCAAGGCCATGTCACAGCACCAGCGTTTGCAATGCCAGCCTAGGGGGATAATTACGGGATACGTATGTTTTGCGCCGGCGACTTCGGCAAGTCGAACACTGTGATTTGTTCTGAGAACGGCCCACGGACAACCCTGCAGGGGCATGCCCACTGCATGCCCACATAATGTGAGTGTGTGAGCGTGAAGTTTCAATTGGACCTCTCATTTTTGAGGGCACGCGCTTTTGGTGGGTTTTAGCCTTCAGAAACGACAAGAACACCCACCCACCTTTTTTTTTTTTTGGGGGGGGGGGGGGGTTGCATGGGGTTGCCCTTAAAATAGGCACCCCCAATGGCGGTTGCCGCAACCGCGCCTTTCTCTTGTCAGACCGACATGCGGAGCCCAGTGGCGCAACTACAAGGCCTCCTGGAGGCGCCTACGGGGTGGAGCTTCAGGACATCTCTCCGCGGCATATGCGCGGTACGTGTTCCTTTGGTTTACGTCTAGGTCCCCCAAGTAGTGCCCTTTTGCCCTTTTTTGCGGGAGGGTTCCCCTAGAATAGACTACAGAAAAGGGGTACCCTTATTCTAACCTCTCCACTGGAGGACCTAGGCTTAAAACCCTGACTTAAACCATCCTGGTGTACTTGCTGGTTCGAAAGGCAGGGGAATGAGAAATTGCATGACCTGAGTTGAACCATCCCCGAAATTTGGTTTCCTTTAAGGGAATCCCCAAAACCGGTTCATTCCCAACACCCGGAAGGTCATCCCCTGCTGAAATGGACGTTCCAAAGCGAATCGACCAGATCTGGCCTTCTTCTCTCCCTTTTGGCAACCATTGTTTAGTGGTCCCAAAAGATGAACTTTATATTTCTGGGTCATTTGGGCATTTGAGCATCTATCTTTATCTTGTAACCTCCTATTTGAGACTTGCTCATATTGAAAATTGCCACGTTGCCATGTCATGTGGCTGTGCGCCAAAATTAGGGACCCTCCCAACCGATTTGTCCTCTTAGCTTAGATTCTAAAGCGACCCAAAAAGGGTCCCACGTTTTGATACCGCCCATGCTGTCCAAAACCCCACGATTGGCCCAATCGAAGGATCACGAAATACTGGCAACCGGAGGCCCTATAAGGGGGTCCAAGTGGGTGTCTTTTTTTCGGACTGCTATAAAATGAAGCCACTAGGAAGCCGCCCTTGGACTTTTCTTCGAGACAAGTGCCGCTATCATGTGTGTGTGTGTCCTGGAGGCTGAAAGTGGCCATGCAAAAGGGATGCTCTGGACTGAAGGGTCCAAGTTGTTCCGGCGGCTGTCGGCCCTCGATCTTGCCCAAGGCCTGCGGCGCTTTCAGCTCGCCGCGGGCTTTCCGAGAGAAAATATTTTGGATGCGAGCGAAAGGGACATGCTCCAAAGTTCCATTTTTCAAGATCGACTGAGTCCCAGGGGTTGATTTCAGAAAAAGAGAATCCTGGGCTTCAGGTTACCTCCTGGTTGGCTCAAAAGCTATAGTACTCTCCGGTCTTGGGGTCCAACTATTTCTGCAGTCATGCCCAATCGAAAGGGAGTGTTTCAAAATGGAGGAGTGTGGAGAGTTGTCCTTTTCCCCTAAGACTACCCCAAAGGCGTCTGGCTTGTTCAAAATCAATCTTTAATAAGCTTATGCCAGTGGGTTCCTTTGTAGTGGTGTCCCACTACAAATGATGGAATACACGTTGCACCCGCCCAGCCACCCAGCCACTTAGCCACACAGGCAGACCGATTCACCCGTCAGGCCGTAGCGGAGTGCACTTTGAAGGTGAAGGCCAAGCAGGGCCCTTGGCTGTGGCCGCTCCATGAGCCAGACACATGGCAAAAGGGAGAATCTGATTATCTGATTCTTCGGAGGGGGGGAGGGGGGGCATGGCTGCCATTTGGATCTTAAGCAGCTTTCAGACGTTGAGGCAGAAATGGGGGGAAAAAACCAACATCAACCATCCCCACCACAGCGATACGGGAGCAACAACTTGTTTTGTGCTGGCGGTGGCCACACGGCAGGCTGGAGTCCAGAAGGGCTTCCCTATGATCATTTTTCCATGGGCTGGGGTTGGCTTTGGAGAGGAGACCCTGCCCGCCGTAGGGCGGGCCCGAACAGGAAGGGTGCTATTTTTGTTTGACAATGACCCGTCCATGAGACAAGAAAATGGACCGAGGCAGACAGAGACGGCGCTTGCATGGTGGATTTGTGGAGGTCAGCCGGTCACCCTAGGTCCAGAAAATAGGAGGGAGGGTCCCCCATCCTTTTAGGGCTGACAACGAGACAGATTTATCCTGAACTTGGTCTGGTTCTCGCCGCTTGGGATTCATGACCTCTGAGCACTCAGGATGTGTCTGCCTCCTTGTTGCTGTGCGACGTGACTGAGCTGCAGGGGTCAAGCCTTGGTTGCAGTCGGCTATGGCACCGGGGACCCCTGAGCCGGCTGTCAACCCTTGGGCCTTATGCCATGGTCACTAACCCATGGGGCCCTGGGGGAGGAGGGGTCATGTCGGGGAAAAGTCGAGGAGAAGCAACTAAGTTGACAAGCCCTGAACAAGGCCTCAAAGGGTTAGTAAGGGAGTTCCGCCCCCTCATCAGTTCGCCCCGCTTCCTTACTTAAAGGGGCAGGGTACTTAGTAATTGGTTAGTAAGTGGTTACCAAGTAAGCCTGGTTATGTCTCACTCGCGGCAAGTGAGTTATGAGTAGGGGTCCACATGAGTCACCCGAAAAGGAGGCATCTAACTGCAGGGATCCTTCTCGCTTGATCCTTTCTAGTTTTTGGGCGTGTCTTAAAATTGGGGGGAGTGGGGGCGGGGGTTCTGTCTGTCGTTTTACCAACCCCAAACAGGGTACCCATGAAAAAATAAGTGTTTGGCCGTTGGAATGCGTCAGAATGAAGCCGAGTATTGGGGACATCTGATTCCCTTGAATCATGCACCTTGAACACCGTCCGAGCAGCTGACGGCAAGATCGATGGCGGCACTAAGAGCAGAGCAAGTGGGGCAAAAGGCGGCCCTCCCCATAAAAGCAAATGCTCAAAATAGAAACACGGGTACCTTCTTAGACAATAGCTAAGCTCATTTTGAAGCCCTTTTTGACATGTCAATGTTTTGTGTGATCAAAATTACTGGTAGTGTATGGTCGAATTTGGGAGGGGCATTCGGCATGGAGGATTCACTAAATCAAAAGAGGGGACTCAATAGATTTCCCAGCCCTTTTGGCTGGGGACCCGCAATTTTCCCGGAGTCCAAAAGAGCGCCGAGGCAATGAACGACACAGAGAAGCGGCTTGGCAATGCAGTCATTTGGGTTTTTTTTGGGTACCCCTTGTGGGGTGGATTAACGGAACAAAGGGAAACAAGCACACATTTCGGGGTTCCCCGATTTTAAGACAACCCCGGATGTCAGATGGGGAGACAAGAAGAGGGCTTTCTGCGACCCATTTGGGGCTACTGTTGGGGCTACTGTTTTGCCGGGCACTAATTTGTGGTGTGTGTGTGTGTGTGTATGTGCAGTCTGCTGAAACCATCGTTAGCCCCTTAAAGTTCTATGCCGTCCTTTGATCGTTGACCCTTTTTAGCCTGCGCCTTGACACCTAGGGAGCTAGTTGTTCCGCTGTTGTTCTTGCACGCAGCAACGTTTTGAACTTGGGGGAACCAGGTCAGCCAGCTCTCACCGGAATATTCAAAGTTTGAGAGACTGCATTAGGCTCCCAAAATTTGCGGAACCTCGAAAATGGGTGATTTTTCCTTTGGTTCCCCTTTTAAACCAGCCCAAATGCGTACCGAGCCTGAAACACCGCCGAGCCACCCATATCGATGCGCCATATTCGACGCATTCGCCGCGCCGGTCTTGGCTTCGTTCCGAGTTGCTGCATGCGGGCTCTGCGGATGATGCGGATCCTGCCGTCAGTGTGCCTGAAGGAGCAGCAGCAGCACATCCGGGAGCCACTCGCCCGCGAGAGTGGTACAGAGCACCTCCAATCTTCCGACAGCCCGGTAATCATCAGCCGGAGGCTTATTCCTGAACATTCTTGGAGTCGATGGCGTGTGCAACACAGGCGCTTGCAAGCTTGGTTGATCCAAAAGGGGGAGGGAACCACGTTATTCTGCAAACAGTTGCAGGGAACTACGATGGGTGAATTAAGGCTCCAAAGATGAACTTTCTTGCGTACGGCTTGCTTGTTTCTGGGTGGAGCAGGGAACAATACCCTCCCTCCCGGTAACACGGCACCAGGGGTCCCTCCAATTGATATTCCAGTTACCCCTCCCACTGGTGCCTGATGTTTGTGGGAGGAAGGGTAGTGTGTATAGGTTTTTGGTATCACCTCAGCTGGCCCAAATACCCCTCGAGGCTTGCGTAGGCCGGCGCTAGCACCAAGGCGGTCACGTGAATAAAGCCTGCCTTTGAGGCCTGGATATTGCACCACACTGACTCAGGTTTAGGTTTGGTACATTTGGAAACTGGCCCCCAAAAAGTGTGCAACTTGTATTTTCAGTTTTTGAGACCGACGCAAGTTGCCGAGGAATCGGAATGACGATGCCAGCCTCAAACCCCAGAGGATCATTTGCCTAGTCCCTTCCCTGCCAGTTTTGAGCATATTATTTCTCTTAAAGCCTTTTGGAGCTTCCAACCGGCTTGGAAAGGGACAAGGCCATGGAGGTGCCGCTTCTGGGGCAAAAGCTGTTGAGCTTGGAAGAACCCTTGAAACTGGGTGCTACTTTATGGCTCAATGCTCCGGAAGGACACCGAAATGGGATTTATCTGTTTTAGGCCTTGTTTAGCAGCACCCCGTGGACTTGGTTGTGTTAGCACAAGTAACAAGTAGCAGCTCGGAACTGCACATGGTGTGCATCTCTCTCTCTCTCTCTGTGTTTTGCCAACACCTGCTAAGGTTTGTTTTTTTAATGCAGAGGCCTCTCACAGTGTTTGTGTGTGTGTGTGTTGTCATACTGTGTTGTGGAGAGTCTTTGTGACCCCGTGTGAAAACCTGGTCCACGGCACCAACATGTCCGCCCATTTCATCTTTGATTTCTGCCTGCCAATGTCACTGACGCCAAGGCAGTACTCAGCTTCTACGACCTATGTCTTTGCCTGGACTGAGGTCTACATGCCGCTGAGCTATTTATTTGGCAGAAGAGATGTGTTCATTTGGCAGAATTGATACGTAGTTGATGATCTTGAGTTCATCCGATGAAACACGGGCGCCACAACATCCGAACCTTCCCAGATGTTTCCCAGCAATCATCACCACACGACCACCGGCACCACAGCCAGCACAACCACCGCCAGCGCCACCATAGCCACCACCATCACCGCCGCCGCCGCCACCGCCCTCGCCCCCGCCCCCGCCACCGCCCCCGCCACCCACACCACCACCACCAACATCACCACCACCACCACCACCACCACCACGACCACCAGCACCACCACCACCACCACCACCACCACCACCACCACCACCACCACCACCACCACCACCACCACCACCACCACCACCACCACCACCACCACAGCAGCAGCAGCAGCAGCAGCAGCAGCAGCAGCAGCAGCAGCAGCAGCAGCAGCAACGCCCGCCATTTCCCGCCAGGTTCCTCACACGCGTTGGAGACTATAACTGGAGTCCTTTCATGGCATTTGCTCTCAAACAGAAGGG